GTTTTGGTGTTAAAATTTTCTTTGGCAATTAACTGGCAATCAATTTGGTCCTAAATGGGACCCATACCATTACCAAAACGAACCAGAAAATCTCATGGATTTTGTTTTATCAGAGACATACATCATATATATAGAGAGAGAGGGACACATTTTTTTATTATATGTATTCTTAAATTTTACTTCATTTGTTGTATTCGTAGTTGCGCGACATGGGCAAATGCATTATCTAATACTATAGTAATAATTATAGTGAATATAAAATGCTTAGAAACTACATGCTAAAGCTAAACTGTGGGAAAATTTATTTTTAACAATTTTTTTGGAAAGTATTTCATAATTTCTTTCATAACATTAAAACTGGAAAATTTTGTCTAGCAAACAGATTTATCAACACTATATATGTTGGATAGTTTTTGTTTGAGACTTTGAGTACAATTTTTCATTAGAAATTGTTAATAAATTTAATCATCTAAGTTCGTATAGTACTAGTAATTACGATAAGCCAAAAAAGCAGTTAATTAGGTTATGCGCTTTTTTTTTTAAGCTAGACGCAAATAAATATAAATTTATTAACTGTCCTACTAGCATACACATTTAGATATATTTATGTATGTATCAATTTCCTATATTTTCCAAATGGTGAACAAGTTTTTTCTTTTTCTTTTTTGAGAAAGTAATGGTGAACAAGTTGGATCCAAAGAGATTTTGGCTGCGGTGAAACTTCAAACCCACTGTACACATTCTCACATGGGTTTGATCATCACAACATGTCTCTATATCATAGATACTGCCAAAATTCTCTAGATTTTTCCCCCAACTAATTAATAATAGCAATAATAATCAGAAAAACAACTTTGATAACTATAAAGACTCTTTCATCACCATTCTTCACCCATGTGAGTCTTCGATAATGACTCAATCAAACATCCAAACCATCTTCAACTATAATTTTTATTCATTGTTTTGTTTTTAGGTGACTATTGAAACAAACATTAATGCATTATGATCATACCCATGATTTCTGAGTATACAGTTTACCTGCGACGTATTAAAGAAATAAAAACAATATTTGTCACTTAAAAATTATTGTACTTTTTTGTTCAAAGATTTATATACTTATTTTCGACCAAACACGCAAAAAAAGAGTTATATACTTATCAAAATATCCCTGGAAAAGGAATAATAGCCCTTCATTATATACGATATATAGATTTTATTCATACTGTTATAGGAATGTCACATTCTAACCACTTCGTTAGTCTGTGGATTCTCATATATAATGGAGGTTCTTTTTTGTCAATATATTTTTTGTTCTGTCAATATATTTTTGTTCTGTAAAGATTGTAAAAACAATTTAACTGGTTCCTTTCTCAAATAAAAAAAAAATAACTGGTTCATCCAATAAATAATAAAAGTTATATTTAGGCGAACGTATATTAAAACTTATTTTCCAATTCAGACAATTTATCATTTTTGAGTCAATAGTAATTGGAACAAAAGGTGATAGAAGAATATGTTGGGCAAAAGAGTGTGCAGTTAGAATGGATCCATCAAAATGATAAGTGTCAATACTATTGGGTCAATTCAGTAACAAATTGATGGAAGAATCTTAGACCGCAATTATGACAACAAGAAAAACCACTAGAAGGTCATTAACTTTTTTTGTTAATAATTAATCATTTTTATCCTAATAATTAATAAGCTTCTGCATTTTTGTCGGTAAATATATTTTTTTTATAAACTGTGAAAATTCCGAACCTTTGGTTCATAATCTCTTCGGTATCCGGATACATTCTTTGGATATTCCGATTTAAATAATAACCTTCCGTATTTTTGGTTCGTCGGTAAATATTTGCATCCATGTCCATAAGAAAATAGAAAAAGAGTGTAATTTTCTCTCTGATTCTCTCCATGGCGTTGATAGACTTACCAAATGGGAGTATAATAATATACACAACGATATATGCTTATATGTCGTAACAAAAAAAAATCTTTTTACCAACTGATTCTTAATGTATTTGATTAATATTCATTTGTTCTTGTCGCTCAAATAATGAGGCAAAAGCGGAAAAATAAATAATGAAGCAAAGCATGTGGGAGTGGGAAAGCTCTAACAAAGACTGTTTAAAATATTATTATTATTTTTGGCTGATTTGGTCTCTTTGTTACTGTTTTGGCACGTGTGAGTAGTGTGACTATCCTTCTAAGTTTCAACCTCCATACTTCTCAAAGAGAAAGAGGATTCAATATCTAATCTAGAATGCATGGCATGAGCAAAAAGTTATTAAATAAGATTCATCCAAACAGATTCTATGTAGCTCTGGATGACATTGGTTTATATGATTCGTCTAATTGATTCTAGAGTCATATGACATTGGTAACTTGATTGATGGGCCTGGATGGTAATAAATTTATGATCGTTGGATATGATTATAGCAGTGATTATCAATCCATGATCATTGACTTCGATCATGAACTGAAATACTTATTTTGAAAAGATTGCTAATTTCATCGTTTTTTTGTTTTTGTTGCATTTTGCACTTTTCGAATCAAGAGTTAGATAGCAATTGATTAGTTTTTGGAAATCTCGTCCACTTTGAACCGCTTGATTGAATCATGCATCATAGCGACAGTCTTGCTAATTCATACTAACTTTATTGGTCATGTTAATGCATGATAA